GGCTGGAATTCTTGGAGTTGGCATTCAGAAAAAAGTCCCGGCGTCAAGGGGTTAATATACATCATCATTTGACAGCTAAATGAAGCAAGAAATACACACACATCCTCATCTACCAGGACTTATGGGAACAGACCATGCATGGTATCCAACATGTAATGCAGGCGAATTCTGTATGTGCCACTTCAAACCCACCCCCCAAATAGTTTTCCAATTTTTTTTTCCAGAATTGATAGGCAGAATTGATAGGCATATGTGTGACAATGAAACAAATGCGGCAAAGAACAGTGCACTAGAACCCTGATAGACTCGTGCCAATAAGTAGTTAAACTAGCATTTAAGCAATCACCACAGTGACTTACGGGAACAAGACCAAGATGGACACAGATTTTAAGTTTACACAGACATATATAAGGAATTAGAAATTCTCTCCCATTTTTTTCACACCAATTTCAGGCATTACCCATTACAAATGCATTTCCATTTTATGGTTTCCAGTTTTCTGCAGTCACAAACTACCCTCCAGAGAAAGTAGTGACACTATAAGACGGATTCTGCAGAGCGTGACAGGTGTAAGGGGTGGGAGGGGCTTCTGTGCAGACCACCCCTTTTCTTGGGTAATCTGTTTAGAGTCTTGATGATGTCGGTGAATTCCGGTCGCTTCTCTGGGTTATAATTCCAGCACATCATTAGGACATCCTATCAAGGATTAAACACATTCCAAAAAATATAGCATTCAAACAGAGCAGAATGATTTTCTCAAATTACAAAGCATTCACAAGTCCACTTATTTCACTTTTCAATATTCAAGCATGTAACAAAAGTAGCCATCAATGCCATCAACTGACAAAAAAATTAGATTTACCTTGACATCTTTGGACGCTTGGAGGTGTGCGAGGGGCTGCTTGATGCCTTTTCCCACCCGCCAGATAATGGACTCTGCCAACTCCTTGTGAAATGGTAAGCAGCCAGCTAGTAGCTCGTACCAAATAGTGCTTGAAAAGACAAAAGAAAAACAGACTAACACTGCTAACTAGAAGCTGGACTGACACCTGAATACCATCACCGCTACAGGTCCAGTAACCAAAGGAAGGTCATTAAGGTTTGTGCCCATTCAGATGAAAATTGGTCATGCATTATCTGTGACACACAAAATTGACCCTGTGGACTAACATGACTAAGCCACATAGGACAGAAACAGTGAACAGAGAGGGAACAAAGGATTTCACAGTCTTTGACAGTCAATCTTTTATTCAAACCCAATCTTCCTAAGCCTGTGAGCTTAAATTTATGAGAAAAGGCAACACACTGCCTTGTCTACTGAGGTATGGCTATTCATGACTGTGAGTATGCACACAGTGCCACTGTTTCGTAACAAAGTACCTGTTCTCGTTTGTGCAAAGAATAATCGTGTAAGATGGGGGAAAATGCCACCCAAAGAGCAAGAGGTTGACCTACCCAAACGAGTAGATGTCCGATGAGGTGGAGAAGGGCAACTCGCTGTCAGAACTCCCACTGGCATCCACTCGCAGGGCTTTTATGAGCTCCGGGGCTAGGTAGCACAGCCAACCATCTGGGATGACCATCACATTAGGTCGCCTGCAGGGAAAGAGACAACAAAAGGAGAAGTTCCCTATGACTGCGTTGATGCAAACTGTGATTTGAGGGTGTAGGACACAGGGACAGAGGTGGTCCACAACATACTTTCCTAACAAACTACAACTTATCAATGTTGACCCTCTCAGGTCCTTCAAAATCCAACAAATTGATTTTGGAGGATTTTGAAGGATTGAGGAAGACAGATTGGGTACTGGATTGCTGTTACTTTTTATGGGACTTGATGCTTCTTGATAGTACAAAGGATGTGCCATAGGTTTCATGCATTGTGGAGGATTTCAGAAACTTCAGGAGGGTTCCTAACAAAAATTTCTGGAGAGTTGGGGTCAATGCAATGATATGCAATAAGTTTGATAACTCAATGGTTCATGAAAAGGCCAAAGGTAAAATCAAACAATCCATTTTGGAGAAAAGCAAATCTTGTTTGGCAACAATCAAATACCTGCTCTCTCTGGATAGCCTCATGATGCTAAACAGGGCGAAGTCTGTGATGACCACTTTGCCGTTCTCCAGGAAGATGTTCTTAGATTTGAGATCCTTGTGAATGATGCCCTTGGCATGTAGATAACCCATGCCCTGTAAGATACACACTCTTTCAGGTTGTTTCTTTTAAAAAATAAGACTTAAACATGTATATACAAGTTTTCAAGATATCTGCAAGAATTCCAATGGCTAGTCGCCTCAGTTGTCCAATGGTCTTAAGGATCACACTGCTGAGCAAGTGGTCTTGGGTTTAACTCCCTCAGATGCAAGCCAGAGACATTTTCTGTGCCAGCTCTGAGACAGCAGTGAACTCACAGTGCTGAAAACACCACCACTTAGAGGGGAAAAGCCATGCTAACTGATCACACTTTTCATTGCCTCCTTTCTAGTGAGCTAAAGCGAACTCAAGCAATCCACATAAATTTACCTGTGCAATCTGCGTCGCCAAGACGATGACCTTGTTCATTCCAAACCGATCCCCCCTCTGGTGTAGTCTTGTGTACAGTGTCATCCCCCTGCACAGACTGTGATTGTCAAAGCAACCAGCATGTCAACAAAATGAAAGCCGTATAGCAATTATTGATTTATCAAAGGCATTGAAACTGGATTGCGATTCCATGTTTGTGCATAAACCAATGGAAAACTCAAAACAGTAAAATGCATATTGGCCCGTTTTCCATTTCGGTTTATCAAACCAAACCCGCTTGGATGAGAGAAAATTTTCACAATACGGGCGATTCACAATAGTGCGCCACCAATAGTTTGCAACACGGCCAATCATAACGCGCGAAATTTGTTGACCCTTTTCAAACGCACACTGGGTCGACAAATTTCGCGCATTGTGATTGGCCAACGCGTTGCAAACTCTTGGTGGCGCACTATTGTGAATTGCCTGTATTCATTATTCATTAACACGAGGCTCCAGACTACATTTGGTAACCCTTACTCCACTACAATTATCAAAACATAGACAGCTTAACCCCTTCTCATCGGGAAGCGGTAAGAGACGCTGTAAAAATTGAGATCCCTCAGCCCTCTTTCTAGCTATTATTCTCGGCCCACGCTCAAGCGAACACAGCGAAAGGCAGACCCTGGCTCTTGTATATATGGTGATTGGCCTAATTTGCATCATAATCACCAGCTTC